TTCATACCATAAAAATTATGTCTAAGACATTTTGTCGAAAAATGAATAGTTTCGGAAATAATTGTTTGCTTCCATACTTTTTCCCCACCCTGTATATATATATTCTCGCAGAAATTAAGTGCCAGAGCACAAATCTTAGATTAAGATACTTGAAGAATTTATTGACAGAATATCAAGAATTTGGCTTCTATTATCAAAATTCAAAGAGATTAAACTTGAAGGAGTCAAAAATTTGAGAAAAAATCGATCCTTTTTTTCTAATTTTAGTAAAAATATGTAATAATAAATTAAAAAATATAATGCATGCGTAAATTGTATTCTTTAGTCTTTATTTTACGAAATTCCTAAATGCAGAATGTGTGCGGAAATTTTTGAACGGTAGTATCTTCTATGAGGATTAAATGTGTGTAAATTTTTAATTAATTATTATATTATTAAACTTTATAAAATCCTGGATGCGTATAGCAAATTGTGACATTTAAGTTTCTAACATAATAAATTACTGTTGAAGGTATTCCCTACGTATGCGTAATGTAAAGGTAACAATATGATGTGCCGCGAATATTAATTACGTCGCGCTAATTTCACATCGTAATGCTCGCTATTCTCTATTCGTGCGATTCCCAAGTACGCAGTATTTCCCACTGGTGAAAAATATGACCTACACGCACGGGGAATCGTGAGTCATAAATTCAAGTTGGTGTCATCTAATTACCTCGCCTTCTGTTACACACCTATCGCTCTCGGGAGATGACGAAAGGAACGTGATGTAAACGAAGCGCAGGGGAATCGCGAAACTGGAATCGTAACGAGTACTTATCTTCTAAATTATTAATTGTACTGGATGTTCTAGATTTTTTGTTGTACTTTCCTTTATTCGTGAATCTATTAATTAAATTAATATTTAAGATCTGAAGCGATTGGAAATTTACTTAATATTTTAAATTTAATATTAAATTATTTAATATTTTCTTGATTTAAGTTTTAGAAATATAACTAATCGAAATATCTTATTTCTTTTTGCATAATTTGAAAGACAGTTTGCCTGAATAGAATTTTTATTGAATAAAATTAATTTTAAAATAAAAGTACTTTAAATTAAATTAAATAGATATTAGATATTTATGGAAGAAAATGTAGTTCGATCAAACTTCGATTAAAGAAAAATCGAAACAAAAATGATCAAATAAAGCCTAGTTGAAAGAAAATGTACTTGGGATACTCTATATAAAGTCTCTAAGATTTATCGTGGTACTACTTTCCAACTACGGATTCTTTGATCAACTTGGAGTCGACTTTTTTTTCTGTGTAAAGGTGACAGAAGGACATTGTTTTAACTTAGTCATTGCAACTTTTCACTTTACGGTACGTTAATTATTTCGGTAATTAAACTTTAATCTACACGGAACTTGTTAAAACAAGGTTTAATAGAAATCAACTGAAAAACAATGTTCTATTGCCTATCTATTTTCATAAGAATCTTAAACTTCTCATTTTTTTATTAGCTCTATAAATTAATGTGACTCGATTTTATTTGAAGTATTAAAGTAATGAAACTAAAGTTACGTACAGTTATAATCTCGAGAAAGTTCGGTGAAGTAGGGAAGATTTTAAAAGATTTAACAGATTTGAAAGGTTTTAATTTCTCGCAGGTTTTTTGTGTGCTCCTAGAAAGACAGTTTTTTTTTTAAATATAGCAGTTATCAATATGACATAAAATGTATTTTGGATTCATGCTGAAATATTTAAAAACTTAGATTCAGATCTGGAAATAATTTTGTGTTGGACTATAAAAATAATT